GATACTTCCCACTTTTAGTAAAAAAAAAAAAATCTGTTTTTATTCAGAAATAAGCCGTTTCTTTTAGTAAATCAAAAACAATCCTGTACATACAACTGTCTATTGCTGTACATACAACTGTCGATTTGTATATTTTTATTCCTTATTTACTTTATTTTTATTTTTTATTATCTGTGTTTTTTTGTTCTGTCACTGTCATTCTGTTACACTGTGGAAGCTTCTGTCACGAAAACAAATTCCTCGTATGTGTAAACATACCTGGCAATAAAGCTCATTCTGATTCTTCTGATTCTGATTCACTGAACTTTAAACCATTCATGCAGGCATATGAACACTGTTTCGAAAGCAAGACCAACAGCAGTCAAGATCGGTTATATTACCTTGAACAGTATACCTTTGGTCAACCTAAAGAGTTGGTTAGAAGTTGCCTTCATATGGATGCAGACAGAGGGTTTGCAGAGGCAAACTGACTCTTGGAACATCATTTTGGAGATGAATTCAAAATCACCAATGCCTATATGAAAAAGGCCTTAAATTGGAATAACATACCAGTGGACAATGGTGAAGCTGTACATAGTTATGCTCTTTTTCCTCCGTGGATGTTGTAATGTTATGCGTACTTTGAGGAATATGAATGAACTCAATCTTCCATCAAACATGAGGCTTCTCATCTCCAAGGTGCCTTACAAAATAAAGGAAAAATCACGATCATATGTCTTTGACATTAAAGAGCGAACTGGAGCCAGGGCCATGTTTGGTGGTCTTGTTCATTTCCTGGAAAGGCAGGCCCGGATTCTGCAAGACCCTATTTTTGGTGACCTCCGAGATGCCTCCTCAAGCAAAAGGACATCAAAGACAACCATCAGCAGTAGCAAGCCCACTATAAGTTCTACACAGAAGAGCAAAGGGAGCAGTTTTGCTACAACAGTGGCAGCAGTGCCAGAGGACAATGCAGAATGTTTTTCTGCAGAGAACACAATGCAATTATTCAAATCTTCCAACTTGTCAAAACTCCTATCTGCAGTGGCAATCATGGGATTGTGTCTCGTCAAGAACTGTTGACAAAGCCTCACAATGCTAGAGCTGAACTGCTAAAAACAAAGGGTGTCTGCTTTGGTTGTCTGGTCAAAGTGCATATGAGTCGAACTTGCAAAAACCGACAAACCTGTTCAGAATGTTCAAAACAACATCCCACAATCGTACACATACCCCTAAATGAAAGTAAAGACCAGAAGGATTCAGGCAGTTCAAGCAGTATTCTTGGAAAGGCAGTGAACAGTGGGCTGGTTTCACTTAAGACTGAAGCAATTGATTGTAGTGATAAATGGTGCACTCTTGCAATTATACCCGTTCAAGTCAAGCTGACCAACTCAAATCATATAGTTCAGACATACGCTTTCCTTGACCCGGGAAGTTCTGCTACCTTTTGCACTGATCAGCTCAGAAAAGGTTTAAATGCCAAGGGCAAACACCAACAAATACTTCTGCGTACTATGGGGCAAAAGAAGCCCATTAATACCCTGGTGGTCAAAGGCCTGGAAGTGTGTAGCCTGGACGGCAAGGAATTTATAAACTTGCCAGATGTTTACACTCAGCAGGAAATTCCTGCTGATAAAGAACATATCCCCAAGCAGAAGGACATCCGAAAATGGCCCTATCTTCACGATGTGGATATACCCACCATTAACGCGGAGGTTGGCCTTCTCATTGGGATAAATGCGCCCAATTTGATGGAACC